ACTTCTGCTCGAACATAGCTATATGCAGGAGGTTGGCATGTGCAGTCAGAATTATCCTGGATTGTCTAGAGTGCCATACATCCTTTTGTGAGCTATGCCATCTTCCCCTTCAGGATTTCAATATGGAAAGCATGACGGTCTGCTAAACAAGGACACCGTCAGATATTAAATGCCTCTCGGGGATCAGGTGGCTAAGTGGGTTAGACGCTGGCTCGCTAGCCTGGAAGTCGGGTGTTCGATCCCTGCATTGGCCGAGAAAGTTCATCCAGATTTTCGGCGTGATTCTCCCTTGTCAGTGATGCAGGATGGAGGGCCTGACAAGAACAGCTGTCTAGTCGTTCGGATGGGACGAAAAACCGAGATCCCGTGTACAAATTCGCGTGCACGTAAAAGATCTCTTGGCAGTTGGAATTCGATATAAGAGTAGGCCGTATCGCCGCTGCCCGGGCAAAATTTCCCTCATAGCACACTGTATGGCGTATGCCCGTCTTCATTAGCCCAGGTTAGGAGCAGAACAGTAGGACGTTAAACCCTATTTCATTTCATTTCATTAAATGCCTCTCCATGAACACTTATAAATATTTTTACTTGTGGTTCTTCTTACACGAGAATGTGGATAATAGATATATGATAGTAATTGCAGCCCATAAATCTATACGATGATCTGCTCCTAAATACCGATCTTAACAACGGCAAAATTATTACCTTCCCTTCGGCTATCCAGTGAGCGTGAAAGTCCGATTTTGTCACGAAAATGTTATGATTTTTGACCAAAATACCCTATTTGACAGACATGTTCAAATTAATAACGAAACATACAATAGTAATGGTGATGATCTCTGGTCATTTGAAAATAATCGTTGGTCATTGACGAAAAAAGCCGCTTCTTTGGTTAGATTGTGCTGATATAAAGGCTTGCCATGCCACCCGATTCTGAAAAATTATAGGCCAGTTACGTCCCTTCCCTACGATGATCGAGATCGTCGGATTTTGTCAGAAAAACTTTATGATCTTTAACGAAAATAACATATTTCGCACGAGGGACGCTCAAATAACAAAATATAGTACTAATGTTGATAATCGATGGTCATTTGAACTTTTGAAGACAATCGTTGATCATCAGTAAAAGAAGAATCGCATGGAAAATATTGCTTTTTACACATATTCAGAATATTCCTAGCACACTAAAGGGTTTAGTGCCGGTCATGTTTTTCTTCTGGCATATACTTGAACGAATGCCCTTCCTAACCACACTAAGCAATTCTAGGTCAGAACCGCCAAAAGGTAGCTACATACGTTTTTGGGAGACACAGTTTTCAACATATTATGTAAAATGACCACTTTAAGAACATTCCACACGATTCATTCATTACCAAACGACTGCAGGATTTTATTAAGTCGACCACTTGACCCATCATACCTGACCAATATTAAAATGTTAGGATCGTTTTGAAATTTTGTTAAAAAATGGTCGAAATATGGCAAATTTGACCCAAAACATCAATTTCCAGTTAGACCGGAAGTTGTTTCACTACATCGCGTGACTTCTCTGTCGCCTAGGGGTCCCTGTCCCATAGTTCAGCTCTGAACGTAGGTCTCATTACACTCGCCCAGTACGTTCAGGAACCTTCCTATTGAATCCTTGTCGAAAAAGAATCGGCCCAGTCAATTTTACTGGGAAACGTTTTACTGCTAAATGGTCTTGTATCTGTCTCTGTGAAAGCCTGAACAATGTAAAGGAACGTTTTAGTGAGAAAAAACGACCTTGCTTACCTCGCTAAAGTCAGTATGTGCAACATAACATGCTGTTAAAAATACGCTCCCTTTTGTTAAACGGCTTGGCAACGGTCATTGACATCTAAATATAGGGTAACGCACAAATTTACGTAACTCGGCCATATATGACGAAACGAAATTTAGGTGAAACAAATCGCATGCATAGAAGCTTGCACCTAAAAGATCTCTTGGAAACGCCATTGCCTTGTCTTAATTATCTTGCACGCACGACTTTAATATCTCGAGCGCTCGACTGACTGACGTTGCGAGTATCTCGCGTGCACGACTTGCTATATCTCGCTCTCGAGAACAATTCTTTTCTGATATGTCTTAAATCAGCCACCGTAGTAACTGAACACTGTCACATAAAATTAATATGGATTCAAATACCAGAAACATCGTTTCGCCGAAGAAAACAAAGGGTTTCACTTTGCAGCTGATAGACGCGATTATCATTTAATTTTGTCAGTTGCATTACTTGGATTTGAAAATGAAAATAGCCAATGGCTTGTAAGTTCTGTATTAGGGTAACCCGTGCACCGTACAGAGTTGGTCCCGACACGGCGAATGTACACGCTTCAGTGGCTTATCTTGAAGTGATTTCTCGCATACACTACGCACTATGATAACACTCAGCAGAAGAGTCTATGATACTATAAATAGCCATCGCACGTGCAATTCTCTACACATCTATCAACTATTACAGCCGTATAAACAATCTATTGTTGACGATTCTGAATAGCAGTAATATTTAGCTTATTGGGTATTACAGCAGCTTTAGAAATTACGTTCGTTTTATTTTTTAAATTGCATTATCATTAACTGTACCATTAGGAGCGGCATCGTTTGGTTTAGTACAAATAATATCTCTGAAATACTTGCTTCGAGCAAGAACATGATACAAGCAGTAGTTGCATTTTACTTTTAGAGAGAGAGAGAGAGAGAGAGAGAGAGAGAGAGATGGGGTTTAACGTCCACTCGACACAAACCAGGTCATTTCGGGACTAATGGTTTAATTTTATTTCAATAATTCGCTTGCGCGTATGGGTCTTTAGCAGTGGGAGGAAACCGGAGGACCCGGAGAAAACCCACGAGGTTGGACAGGCGACCCTACTCCTTGTCACGTACAGCGGGGATTCGAAACCATGCCAGTTGACTCAATGACAGGTCGTATGTTACAGCACGCACGTGCTAACCATTCGGCCATCCAACCCTGCTTTACTTTTACAAGGTTCTTAAAACAATTGTTGAGTTGCCCAACGTGCGTGTTTCTAAATTCAATTTATTGTTCCAGCTTTCTGTTATGTTTCGTAGTCTTGATTATCCCGGCCTCTTAATCAAACGTAGAATGGTCGGTAGACGGGTTAAGCGAGGCTACCTTCAAAACAAGAGCACGTAACCTATTTTTTACTCACGTGTGCTCGGATGTGATGGCCAACACTCGGAACCACCTTTCGGTGTATTATTTATGGATGATTAAATGGTCATAGCTTATTAAGTACAGCATGACCGTTTATTTAGTGACTATAAATGTTTGAAGCTGATTTAAGGCTTGGTGTATATATATAGATATTGTGGTGTAATTGTCGAGATATTTGGAGATATTTATTTATGGTTGGGCACCCTAACAGTCTGTATTATAAATTCAGAATAAATTAATGTGATTTTGTAGAATAGTTTATTAAGAACGGACATAAAACGTTAAAATATTACACCTTTTTTACGTTGTTTATAATGACGAGTTTTAAGTTTTAGCAGTATTGTTGATTAAGGACAGTTAACGTGAAATCAATTTCCACTTCCACTTAAAACCCACAATATATATTATTCGTTTACTTTTATTCAACGATAATTATTTTTAGTGATAGGTTGTGGTACATAAGTTACAATTCACATCCTCATTAACTTCAGTGACAAAGCCCAACCATCCTTAAATTGGTCTTTTTTGAACATTCCGATGAACATTATGAACATTTTTATAACCACAAAAGCCCAATATGGCACGCCCAACTGATAAAAATATTGAACGGAACCGACCATCTGGGCCAAGTCAAAGACATCTATAGGCGGTGTTTCCGGCTTGCCCCCCCCCCCTTGTTAGTGATGCAGAACGGAGGGCCTGATAAGGACAACTGTCTAGTCGTTCGGATGGCCCGAAAAACCGAGATCCCCTGTACACATAGGCGTGCACGTAAAAGATCCCTTGATAGTTGGAATTCGATATAGCACACTGTATGGCGTATGTCCGTCTTCATTATAGCCCAGTTCGGAGCAGAACAGCAGGACGTTAAATCCCATTTCATTTCATTTCTATAGGCGGTGACGTCATTTTTACCACAGTTTATCATTTTCGTAACATTATAATAACGAAGAGATCATAATATTCAGAAATAATGGGTGTAAAACCCGTTTTCGATGTACTCGTTTCTATGAACGGTTCTACTACATTTTTATTAGACCGACTTTTTTTGTCGGCGAAAACTCGCGCAGAAACGCCGCGGAAACTCGTACATAGAACACGAAAGTAAAGTTTTTATTAGTACCTTTTATCACCCAATAATACATTCTACAGCAGATATCGCTTGTGTGATAAATTTCATAATCTACTGCGATATCTCCTTAGGAGATATCGCTTTACATGAATTTGATTGTTCAATAAAAAAAACCTACTTATTTTTATTTTCAAAGAACAGTTCATTTTGGGTTAAAAGTAACTTATTTCTTATTAAAAAGGAACTATTTTTATTTAATTGACCTTGATAGAAACACTGGGTCAATATAAAGAACTTTGCAATGGTTGAGCCCAGGTTAGGAGCAGAACAGTAGGACGTTAAACTCCATTTCATTTCATTTCATTTGCAATGGTTGAATTGCTGTCAAAAATGATGTATCACTACGCCGTAATGTAATCAGGTTCCGTAAAAGTGAAATCTATAGCAAAGACTTATATTTATTTATTTGAGCATGTAAGAAGGGATCGGGTGATAAATAAAATCTCCTACTCATCTTTTTTTGATATCAAAAAATATCAATTCTCGATAAAGTAAAAACAAAGTCTCGTTTTTTTATTTAATTATCGACTTGTATTGATATTTTTTTATATAAAAACAAGACGAGAAGGTGATTCTCTACATCTCTTTTAATTACAAAAAAAACCCCCAAAACGCCGTTATCTTTGTTTTGATTTTTTTTGTGTGTAATTGATATTGTTTGTATTATTGTAGATGTAAATGGTTTGTACCGACGTGCTTACAGATATACGTATTATAATTATTATAATTATTATAGCTATTATCGTTATTCTAGCTACACTTATGCCTATTCAACGTAAGTAAAGCATACTTTATTTTATGAAGTCGGGTCTACTCGTATTTCGATGAACAACCAAGCGGAAACGTCACTGTCTGGGCTAAATTCTCCTCCCCAACATTGCACACGTGACCGTTATGTTAGTCTCAAAATCACAAATATATGGTGTTGACAAGACGTTAAACTCCATTTCATTCACTTCAACCACACCCGCGCACGAAAAAAAAGACGTGGATTGGTAACCCCCAACGACCGCGCATTGTTCTCTATCTATTACATGTGTTTCATACGCCCACGTTTTCATATAGATGATAGTGAGTTAAAAGACTTGGCCCCTTAAAAGTTAAAGATCCCAGATGAATTTGATGTTGCTTATAGCCCCGGCTTTTACGCAAAATGTCTAATGTATGTATGTACATTATACAGTGGACCATTTACAGACCACAATTTTGGTCCAGTTCATAATCATTATTGCATTAACCTATGTCCGTTTGACCGTTCGTCCGTCACTCAAACGTTTTCCACGTGGGCGTATCTTGCCTGCCAACCGCTTATTTTAAAATTGTATTTATTTATTTGCAGAACTATAGGTCTAATTGTTGGCGGTGTAATTGGGGCTGTTGCTCTGATTGCTTTCGTGATTGCATTGATATGTTGCTGTAGACGATCCCGTGGAAGGGCTGGCACTGTTTTAACAACCAACAATCCAACCGTTACTTATGTAAACCAATCTACAGGTACAACTTTAATATTAAAATACGAAAGTACAACAAAAATACAGTTTCGAGTAGAACTAATGTGGTGTTTCGTTAGTGACGGGGGTTATATGAGTTTTATTTCCATTTAGTAAGCGAAAGTAGGATTGTTTATTAATTTTAGTTTAGATCACACGGTCTGCCATTGACTCAAGTGTCATGGTTTTCCTGTCAAACATTTTTATCACTTTTGCAAGTCTAAAAAATAGCACCTCCTCTAGGGGATTTCTAAAAACCATTTCATCAGCAAATTATGACAAATAATTTTTACACAATAAAATATCGTTGTAATTTTATGGTCTTTTATTTTCCAGTACACCAACCAGGTGTTTACCCTAATCAACCAGGATATCCAAATACAGCAGCATATCCTGCAATGGCCGCCGGACCGCCACCGTATGCCTACGTAAATAACGCCTATCCATCTCAACCGGAGCAGCCGCTGGGTGTTCAAAACGTATCACCTATGCCGCAACCAACACAGGAACCCGGCATGCCGGTTAAACAATAATTCCAGACCCCGATATTGTATTGTCTTGGCAATTTACCCCATTTACTGACACGTTTAATGGACTATAAAATATATTAGCCTATAGATAAAGCTGTCAAGATTAAAAGTATATTGACCCTTCAATTTCATTCCGTGTAAAATCAATACCTGACGTTTATTAAATCAATCCAATCTTACTAAAGAAAATATATTTCATCCATGTAAACTATGTACATTTACGTGGTGATTTGCAAGCAAGTAAACGTAAGCTCTCTCCTGCTTTCTATACGTTAACCCTCCTACCCGCATGCAAATACCGTAAAGGAAACCGAATCTCTTACAACATTAGACTGTCGATTATCAGCCTTACAATACAAGTTAAAAAATAACAAAATAATTTTAAAAATACCCCCTAACCCAATATATTTACATTCAAGCTATCGACAGACGAATTATTTATTGTTAATTTGACAATAAATAGCTAATCACATGAAAAGAACTGGAATATGTGGAGATAGTCATGACTATTCCTGTAAATAAACGGATGTAACTAAAGAATAAATAATCTCAATCAACTAGACAAATCGGCCCCGTTTGTCGCGACGCAGGAGCGCCATCACGTAGTGATCTCTAAAACTATTATGGCCACTTCCGCCTTCATTTCTATCGGGTTTGGAGCTCAAACGACGGCAATAAACTCGCTCTAACTTGACTGAATGAAAAATCTAACATACCTTTCGACTTTGTGGAATAACAATCTATAATTCTAGTGATCTTTTTTTTTGAAAATCTTATCGGATTCCTGAGAACAGATGTATTTTCTTCATGATCACCATCAAAACATTGAAGAATCGATTATGTCGTAAATTTTATGTTAATTAGATTGCCATTACTTAGATTTTCCTTTTTCTCACCATTTTATTGGGATGATACGAATATTTAGTATATATTAAAGACGTCTCTATTCATTTGACCTCATTTGACGTTTAAACCTATATAATGTACATGAATTTTAGGTACTATTTTTTTTTGCGGATGAATACAGCTGTTCTGTATTGTATTCTGTTGTTTGGTTCAGATTTCACCGCCGTCTTAGACTGTAAAAATTTTGGATCCATGTGTCGACGCTTTAAATCACATGGATCCATTAAACCTTCTAACTGTTTAATTCCATTTTTTTCATTGAAGATTCTTATATTACAAATCTTTCCTTACACTAGAAACGTATTCACTGGATATTCTCTAAATATTGTAGTAGTATATATTTTCATATATAATTTGCACACGTATTTAATTAATAAGATTTAAATTGCGTATTTTATTTTAAAACTTAAGTAACATTTCTTTGCTGACGTTGACACGTAAGACTTTTCAAAGAATACGCTGGGATTAACTGGAGGCAATATAACTACTCAAACTGAATTAATAAAAGATATATTTCATACTTCTAGTTTATACCAGCTAATTTAACTAAAATAACTTCTGTTATTTCATTGATTTATATAACGATTTTACTAAACCGAAAAGTAGGATTTAACAAATCTAGTAAATACTTATTTAGTAAAATAAACTTGATTTATATTATATTCGTGATTTATGTCAAATATCAAATAATGATATCATGATTATATAAACGGAAAAGTACGTGTCTTTATATGAAAACGAATCAATACTTGTTTATATTTATATTTCAATGATTTAATAATGTATTGCTTTAATTAGATAAAATACATAAATAAGTAAACGGAAAAGTACGATTTTATTACAATTGATAATACCTGTTTTACTATAATTTATAGTTAAGATTTAAATGATTTCAGACATCAGAGTTATATGTTATAACAAAGCGAGTTATATTTAGTTTATATTTTCATATTTACGCCACCCATAATTGATTATATTTGGGTTTTTTTATATATTCACACTTTTATTTCATATATTTTGATATTGACTTGAATAAATTATACTTTTAAAATTCAAAGGGTACGGAATCGCACGTTTATATAATATCTCAAAGTTCTGAACAGTTAATATTAGATTCTTTTGAAAAAGGAAGTCAGTTAAACTTTAATTAGATCAAACTGTAATACAGTCCATATCATAACTGTCTCTAATAAAGTGTTTATTATATTTTTTATACATAGTGTCTCATATTTTTATTGATGGACAAAAAATACACAATTCTATTTAAAGCCGAAGATCCTGAATTGGGGGATTTTGTATCCCTTGCAGTCGTGCTGATGGGACGTAATACAAGGTCCAATGTAAACAATGGTGTCGTAAGGGGGAGGGGGGGTGGTCGAATGGTTAGCACGTGCGTGTTGTATCATAAGGCCTGTCATTGAGTCAACTGGCGTGATTTCGAATCCCCTGTTGTACGTGACAAGGAGTAGGGTCGCCTGTCCAACCTCGTGGGTTTTCTCCGGGTCCTCCGGTTTCCCCCCACTGCTAAAGACCCTACGCGCAAGCGAATTATTGAAATAAATTAAAAACCATATGTAAGTCCCGAAATGACCTAGTTTGCGTCGAGTGGACGTTAAACCCCATTTCTCTCTCTCTCGCTCTCTCTCTCTCTCTCTGGTGTCGTAAAAGATCCTTCGACAAATGAAACTCTATAAGAGTAGGCCATGGCGCTGCTGTCCGGGCAAAATTTCCCTCATAGCAAACTACGAGCTTAATCGGAGAAGAACAGTCAGACGCGAAACCCCATTTCATTTTATTTTCATTAATGTATTCCCCTGCAAACTATAATATTGCGTGTTCTGAATCCTGTGCACACTAAAATATTTTGAAAGTTGAATATAACTATTGGGATGTTTCGTAAAACATTCAGGTAACCTTTATCACGTTAATGATAAACCACACAAAGGTTTTATTTTTAAACGTTGATTTCTCGCATTAAAGATGATCTATGTAAGATTTTGTTGAATATAACTAATTCCGTATGCCACTCAGGTAACATTTATCACGATAATGATAAATCACACAAAGGTTATATTTTTAAACGTTGATTTGTCGCATTAAAAATAATCTATGTAAGATTTTGTTAAAGCACGGACAGTTCACGCTATATAGTTAAAAGATAAATGATGAAAAGGGAACATGTTCGAAATTTCCGTCAAATTACTTCATTCTGAGCGGAGTTTTTGCCGTTTGAAGAACAGTATAGTCTCGATTGTCACGGTTGCCGTTGTTACGGTAATAAACAAAGTCTTGATTATACATTTTCAATTAAATTCTTAACTAGCAATCGTATTTAAATCAGTTGAAACCAAAAGTACCCGATGTTCTTGAACGTTGATCATGGGCTTGGCAAGTGAATAAATGCCCAATTAGTGATTTACGTAACATTTGAGGCCAATCGAAAGATTTCGCTCGTAGTCTTACATAAGACAATGAACTAATAAAGTCCAGAAAAATTAGGCTAAATCTATATATATATTTGTGACTGTCGTTTGTCTGTCTGTCTGTCTGTCTGTCTGTTCGGGGTTGGCGGCTACACTAGGTCTGCCCCGAGTCTGAAATTTGGGGTATAGGGTTAGCTCGGACCGGGGAGTAACATAGGCCAGGTGGCGTTAGTCTACCACTTCCGGTTTCGGAGTTATGACCCCCGAGCGAAGCCGGTTTGTTCGTGGTTGGCGGCTACACTAGGTCTGCCCCGAGTCTGAAATTTGGGGTATAGGGGTAGCTCGGACCGGGGAGTAACATAGGCTAGGTGGCGTTAGTTAACCACTTCCGGTTTCGGAGTTATGACCCCCGAGCGAAATCTGTCTGTTCGGGGTTGGCGGCTACATCTGCCCCGTGTCTGAAATTTGGGGTATAGGGGAAGCTCGGACCGGGGAGTAACATAGGCCAGGTGGCGTTAGTCTACCACTTCTGGTTTCGGAGTTATGAACCCCGAGCGAAGCCGGTCTGTTCGGGGTTGGCGGCTACACTAGGTCTGCCCCGAGTCTGAAATTTGGGGTATAGGGGTAGCTAAGACCGGGGAGTAACATAGGCCAGGTGGCGTTAGTCTACCACTTCCAGTTTCGGAGTTATGACCCCCGAGCGAAGTCTGTCTGTTCGGGGTTGGCGGCTACACTAGGTCTGCCCCGAGTCTGAAATTTGGAATATAGGGGTAGCTCGGACCGGGGAGTAACATAGACCAGGTGGAGTTAGTCTACAACTTCCGGTTTCGGAGTTATGACCCCCGAGCGAAGCCGGTCTGTTCGGGGTTGGCGGCTACACTAGGTCTGCCCCGAGTCTGAAATTTGGGGTATAGGGGTAGCTCGGACCGGGGAGTAACATAGGCCAGGTGGCGTTAGTCTACCACTTCCGGTTTCGGAGTTATGACCCCCAAGCGAAGCCGGGTATCCTACTAGTGTAATCATATTTTTAAACGTTGATTTGTCGCATTAAAAATGATCTATGTAAGATTTTGTTAAAGCACGGATAGTTCACGCTATAATAGTTAAAAGGTAAATAGCTGATGCCACATTTTGTTCATTGGCCAGGTTCATAATATACTATTCAAAAAAGTAGGGGATATTTGATTTTTAAGTGTTATTAAAGTCACCTAATGAAACTGACGAAGAAACAAATGACAAAATGAAATGAAGTTCACATTCATCGATTTATTCCAAATGATCGTTAGACTAAGTAAGGCACAGACTGACCATTATAAGGGTAAAATGATACCCGGGGTCAAACAGCAAAGTTACCACAGCATCACAACCAAGTCAGTAACGGGTAAATCCTCCTCTGTTTGCCAAACAAGCATTGATCCGACGTGGCATACTCCTAATGAGACGTCTACGGTCATTTTGGTCCAGATTGTCCCATTCCTGTTGCAACGCAGCAGCAAGTTCTTGGACATTGGCAGGACGTTGTTGACGTTGACGTAACCTCTGTCCAAGCATGTCCCAGACATGCTCGATGGGGGAGAGGTCGGGAGTCAGTGCTGGCCAAGGTAATGTGGTGATGTTCTGTTGTTGGAGGTAACCTGTAACGATCCTGGCCCTGTGACATCTTGCGTTGTCATACTGGAAGATGAAACGGCGGCCATGACGTCGTGCGAACGGCACAACATGGACTGCCAAGATGTTGTCCCGGTAGTACTGGCCTGTAACACGCCCTGCAACAACATGTAAAGCCGTTCTTCCAGCAACAGTGATGCCTCCCCACACCATAACAGAACCACCCCCAAATCGATCATGTCTGATGACGCTCCAGCTTCGATTATCCCAGTGTTGACGATCCCTACACCAACGACGTCTTGCCTGAATGTGATGATCTCTCAAACAAGGGATCACGCGAGGACGTCGGGCGCGAAGGTGACCCCTATGCAGTCGATTCCGAATCGTCTGGCCACTCACTCTCACACCAGTGTCTGTTTGAAGACGAGCGCTGATCTGATTTGCTGTGATGACACGATTTCTCAAGGCCAAGGTACGGATAAATCGATCCTGGGCTTGAGTTGTTGCCCTTGGTCGACCTGAGCGTGGTCTGTCCTGTACAGATTGTGTATCACGGTATCTGGACCATAGCCTGCTTATGACAGACTGAGAAACATTCATCGTCCGCGCCACAACCGCCTGTGTTGTGCCGATCTGTAGCATGCCAAGGGCACGTAACCTTTCATTTTGGGTAAGCCGACGCATATCAAAATTTGTTTTCTGGTCACTAAAACAATTAAACTGATGTTTCCACCCTGGAATTCAATGCCACAATGACTGTAACATTCAAAGTCAGAGTCGTGCAAATCTTGGGTTGGACCCCCATGATGATCCCAAGCATCACCTGCATTCCATGCGGTAGCTATTGGTGCGTTTGGGCGTCACATGTAACTGGAAATGTTTCTTCTGTTAGGTTCTATAGTGACTTTTTTCGTAGTCATTTGCATATTTTAGTATTATGCCCCCAAAATCAAATATCCCCTACTTTTTTTGAATAGTATATTTAGCTTTTGAACAATCTAATTGACATCGTTATACTTATTCCTTTTATTTGGTTTAACGCGTGTCATTGAGTCAAGTGGAACGGTTTCAATTCATCCCTTGTACGTGACAAGGAGTAGGTCGCTTGTCCGACATCATGGGTTTTAACCGGGTCTCCCGGTTTCCTCCCACTTCTAAAGACCCCTACACGCAAGCGAATCATTGAAATCAAATTGAACCATGTGATAGTGTCGAAATGACATAGTTTGTGTCCATGCAAGGTACTACATGTATTGGAATTATGTTTGGAATTATGCGAAATAAATGTAGTGAATGTCGACTTATGAAACCCCACCGTAGTCGCTTAACGGACGGAAACTAATAACCATGGCTGTTTCTAATGACAGCCGTAGGTCGATATACATTTATTCAAATTTCATTTTGCGAAATCATTATTTTTATACATTAACCTTATACAGTTATGGACTCTTTATAGTGTTGACCAATGACCATCAATATGGAAGTTTATCTTTTAATATGTAAAGGTTAATGGTAATATACATTTTCTTGACAACCAAGTGAAATGAATCGATTTATTTACTGTGAAGTAAGTATAATAAATAGCTGAGCACGAGGACTGCGGGTGGTAAAAGGATAATTTGAAGCTAAAGGAGGACTAAGACGATGCAAATATTGAAAGTTTATTAATATGTTCATTGTTATATTTACTCTATTTTTGATCCGGCAGTGTGCCCCAGAGATGACTTGTTCAAAAATACCAAAATTTGAACAAGTTACGAAAAATGAACGTCTCCAAAATTCAACATTTTTGGAACTTGAGGATAAATCTCTAATGAGATGTGTTCAGTACTGTTTTCAAAGTTCAATCTGCCAATCGTTTAATTTTCAGGAAATCTATGGCTTTTGTGAACTTAATTTTAAAAGTAGAAGTGATGGTATTATTGAAGTCGCACAGAACTTTGCAACAAGTGACATAATCCTATGGCCTGAAATCTTAGCAGGGCCTTGCTGGAACCACAACTGTCCAAATAATACATTATGTGATAGTACAGATTCTTTGGATTTCAAGTGTGTTGTAATAGGTTGCACCAATGTTAATATTTTCATTAATACGGTGACGCCATATGAGTTTCCATTTTGGGGCATTGGCTACGAAGTACCCGGAGAGCGTGTATGCGAAACTGGGTTTTACCCGAACACAACTGTAATATGTCAAAGCAGTGGATCATGGCCGAACTTTCAATGCATACCGTACCCAGGTTCCTGTAAGGCAGTTCAGCAATGTAACAGTGCTTACGGTGATGGCGAATATTGGATATTTCCTGAGGGACGCAACAAAGTAAAACTTTACTGTTATGGAATGAACACAAATTTACCGGAAGAGTTCATTACACTACATTTTCCTAATTCTGCCGAGAAATCTTATTACGTTTATGAAAACTATAGCACCTGCTCAATTGTGAAGGCGAATGAGACTTACATTAATGATAATAATCTGGGGAGATCTATCTTCCACAAAGTAAAATTGTCTCTCCATAACTTCAAGATTTACAGACAAGATCACACCTTTGCCAACTCATCATATCTAGCCTATGCATATGGATCTGCACGAGATTGCGCAACGCCAGCTTCGTCGCCTTGTCCAGTCCTTGGAAAAATGGTCATGGACTTTCGCTTGACAAGCTTCTACATAGACTCTACAAGAAGTTCATGGATCCTGACAAGTTCCGCGACATCAGTAGCAGAAAGTGAGATCTACTCGTCCAATAGTCAGTCATTTTCCATGTACTGTGGTGGCGACTGTGGCGGGTGTTTTTTCAACAGTATTCAGATGGAAATAAATGAAATATATGAACCAGAAACGAATTCTGCTGTTTTGCCTCAATGCGTTTGAATTGTGTTTTGACTGTCTTTGTTTATGGACAAGAGTTGTAATAGTACCTTGATTCCTTAACATCTTTTTCAACCGACAAGGCATAGGAGTGCCGAGGCTTCTTCTCGTATTTTTGAATATGATTTTGCAATCTTTCCATTTGCCACCCCTTTGTCATGGCTTGGTTCGGTGGGAAGTTCACCTCTTTATTCAATACAAACCATACCGTTTGGTAGTTGATCAATAGAGTGGATGAAAGTCGGTGTGGATCTGAATTTATTTGTGTAAAATATTCTTTAATTATAATTAGTCGCAAGTAATAGTTCGGGTGAACTCCGTATAATGATAAATGTATATTATCTAAATTTGTAAAGGAATTTCTATCAAACAGGTAAATATACATTTCTCCATCTATTAATGTTCGTTTGTTATCAGGCGTGGGTTGTTGATAACTCATTTTTCGGTTTAGAACGCGTCTTGTGGCAAAATCACGAGTATGTCACGCCAATAAACAGGGTCATTGTTTTCAGTATATGTAATAAAACTGGTAAAATCGGGATGCATATTGCCTAATACAGACATATTGGAATCATAGTTAGTTTTTAAAATATTTAATGTATCCTTATCTATAAAATAAAATCCAGTCAACACTCATGTTTTGTAATTTATCGGATATTCATGCCCCCAGGTGTAAGCAAATTATTTATCAAACTGTTGATGCGTTTAACAGAACGTAATAGCATAGCTACCATTCGCGCCAAAATCTACTCTGTCTATTAAAGGACAATATTGGTGCCAATCATTATCACATATGTGATAGAACTGGTTAAACACGTTCCAAATATTATTTTATCACAGAGATCATTGCTATGATAGAGGCATAATCAATGCTGCAACAATTGGAAATGACGAACGCAAAAGGAAAACACGAGTTATCCCTCTATATAACTGACTGAAGTGACCAGTGATAATAGATACATGGGCGAATTTCTGCTCACTAATAATTCCTTCGAAGACCAAACGTTGTTATAATATGAGACTGTAAGAGTATATCTGACAATTCAAAAAAGTAATCGAATGTCATTAGATAACAGAACACGAATAAAATAGAAACAGTCCGTACATTCACGCGTGTTTGTAGGACGTTAAACTCCATTTCATTTCATTTCATTTCACGCGTGTTTATTCATTCTATCCTTATAAAAACATGGTAATGCACGGACTTTTTCTATTTTTCTTTCATGTTCTTTTATCTAGTGACAGTCAATCTTTTTTATGAATTGTCAGATATCCTTTCACAGTCTCACACAACAACTTTTGGTCTTCGAAGGAATTAGTAGTGGGCAGAAATTCGCCCACGTACCTGTTATTACCCGTCACTTCAATCAGTTATATAGAGGGATAACTCGTGTTTTCCTTTTGTGTTCGTCACTTCCGATTGTTGAAACATTGATTCCACATCTATCGTAGCAATGATCTCTGTGATAAAATAATATTTGGAACGTGTTTAACCAGTTCTTTCATATATATGATAATGACTGGCACCAATATTGTCCTTTAAATAGACAATACATGTAACCGATTAAAGCATACGCCTGTGTATGATATAGTTTAGTAAACAACAAAGACAACACCAGCTAAACATAAAAGGCAAATATAGAAATTAGAAAACCGTGTGCCTAGAATTCAAATCGTTTTTGAATTTATGATCTCATCACACCAATGACCCTCGATCTGCTTTAATTTCTACATTGCAATGTGTGTTTTATGGTGGCTGATTGATATCATGTCGATGTCGTAGTGTCGCCCTTCATAAAGCGACAACCCGACATCACGACATCTAACCCGACACTACGACAACACGAAAACCCGGCAACACGACATCACGACATTTTAACCAGACAATACGTAATGTCGCGTAAAAATGTCGTATTGTCGGGTTGTTGTGGTGTCGGGTTGTTGTGATGTCGTGATGTCGGGTTGTCGTGGTGTTGGGTTATCGGTCATGTTCCCCGGGATTTTGCAGAGCGGTTTCTCCATGTCGGTAGTGCAGGACAAAGGGCCTGGCAAAGACCAGTGCCTAGCACTGTAGATAGGACAAAAAAAACCAACCTCCTGTGTACACATTGGCGTGCACATAAAAGAATCCGTCACAGTTGAAATTCGACGAAGAAATGCCACGGTCCATTGGAAATTTCCGTCGTATCAATCTGCATAGCGTATGCCTATCTTCAATTATAGTCTGATTAGTTCGGAAAAGTAGGAAAATGAAATGAAATATATTATCCAACGTAACACGGACCTGTGCCAACATCTGTACCGCTGAAAGTTGCCCGGACCATGGCGCGTAACGTCACGCCATTATTTTCTAAGATCGCTTATAATGCCAATCTGTTTCACAGAGGATTGCGAAAGTCTTCTAATATCTGTGTAAAAGATGACTACCTTTAACACTGTCTTGACTTCTCATCACGCGGCGTCAATCATTGGTTCAATGGCGCGTGCATTGTTTACATAAGACGTTCTAGTTCGGGCAGAATGGAGACTTTTACTCATTTTAATACCCATTTGCACTAAATAGGTAATAATTTTTACCTACAAATACGTCAAACGCCATTATTTAATTTTCTAATACATAAAAAAAATCACTGCTGATCGGTGTGTTATAATGTGTCTGAACGGCACTGAGTTTAACCGAATTGATTGGTATGTTGTGTCACTATTCTAGTCGGGAGTCCTTACCACTCGTCTTTGTCACCATGTAAAATACGAAAACTCGACATTTTATAAATCTCGGACAAGAAGGCCAATGACGGAAACTTGGACTGGAGAAAAGTTCGTGATGTCTTGAGAGGTTTTAGACCTCAAAGAAATGAATGCGTAGTGAAAATAAACGACTGAATACAATAGGGGTTAACGTTTCATCAACACTGTTAGGTTTTTTTTTCTATGGTCACATGCTAGGGAGATGAAGTTTAACAGACAGCAGCGTTTCAGCCTACTCTTCATCGAATTCCAACCGTGAATGTAATCCAAGCTCTAGAAAATAATGATGTCAACATGGCCGAAATTTACATGTTTTATTTACACTCTATTTGCCTTTCTCGGTATAGCCATTTATCTGTATATTCCGAGAGAATAACTGTCCTGTGCTTTGTCAGTTTCGAAGGTTACAGAGATTCTGTCTCTGGTCTTCCTTACACATGAATCCAAAGTACGCGCGTATAACCATTTACCTTTCCAAAGAAAAAATTTCACCACATTTCAAAAACCTCCACGCTTTCGAATGCTCAGAAAAACAGGCAAACATACAGGATATCATCTCGGGAGAGAGGGTGAGAAATGGGGTTTAACGTCCACTCGACACGTCCACTCATGGTTGAATTATTATTTTAATAATTTGCTAGCGCGTTGAGGTCTTTAGCAGTGAGGGGGGTTGGATGGCTGAATGGTTAGCGTGCGCGCGCTGTATCATACAGTCTGTCATTGAGTCGACTGGCGTGGTTTCGAATCCCCGGTTTTACGTGGCAAGGAGTAGGGTCGCCTGTCCAACCTCGTGGGTTTTCTCCGGGTCCTCCGGTTTCCTCCCACTTCTAAAGACCCCTACGCGCAAGCGAATTATGTAAATAAAATTAAACCATATGTTAGTCCCGAAATGACCTAGTTTGTGTCGAGTGGACGTTAAACCCCATTTCTCTCTCTCTCTCTTTAGCAGTGAGAGGAAACCGGGGGACCCGCAGAAAACCCACGAGGCTGGACAGATGTCGCTACTCCTTGTGTTGTATTCAAGCGGGGAATCGAAACCACACTACTTGACTAAATAACAAACTTTATGATCCAACGACCACGAGTTAACCATTCGACCCCAACACCCTTATCATCTCGGGGTTAATGTCACGATAGCCTAGTGATTTATATACAAAACTACAACAAACATCGTGTTAGCTATGTTAATTCTCCAAATCAGTGGTGGTTCATCTTTAGCGAATATACAAATATCAAAATAGCAATGAAAAAAAACCACAGTTGATCAGTCTTCTTCGAGTTCAAAACGTATTGTTTTATTTGGCGTCGCTACACGTGGGCAATCTTCCAGAACTGGGGTGTCTGTTGTTGAATTATATAAAGCCGCATATGCAGGCGGCGGATATAAATGTGGTTCTTCTGACATTTCTTTTTTGGACACGTAATTCACCGGGTCTTGAACCTGTCCTTGGGAGTGCCTTGGATTTACCGTCTGGTTTTGTATTGGATTTACCTTCCGGTTTTGCATTCTTTTAAACCAGCGACGTTCCCCTTCACACTCATATTCGTTTTCAGAATCTGAAACCATTCAAATATAATCGAATTGCGGCCTCTTTAAATAAAATAATAATGAAACTTTTCTAATAGGGCTGGGATTCACGGTGGGTGTGGCGCTGGCCCAGTAACTATAGAAAGTCCTGTCTTATATCCCGGCGTTTGCCGCGAAATTTGCAGCTCTGAAAAAAGCGTCTAGTCGTAGTACGCATTGGCGTGCACGTAAAATAATCCTTACAGGTGGAATTAAATGAAGACGAACCGGAAACGTCACTATCTGGGCGAAATACCCGTCTTCATTAGCCCTGTTGGTAAATAAAAGTGGAACTTTACGCACCATTTCACATCACCGGGGACAGGCCAAGGTATATTATATGATAATCGTGTAATATATGTGATAGGGGTGAAGTTTTGTGTAAATAAAAACGCCGGGCTGCACAATCAACCTACCTGATTCTGATTTTTTTTCCGGGGTGCTAGTTTTATCTGGCGAAGTTTGTTTCCCTTGAGGATCAGATTTCTTTTTACAATAGCTGTAGTACAAAAAGTATGCAGTTCCAATTACAAACACGGTAACAACTATGCCAGCGAACACATATGCACCTCTGCAATAAAAATGGCAGCGTTAAAGCAGCAAAATATCGATATGGTACGTCTCCAAAATAATGCCAATAAGTACAGTCATTTTGGGGCGTAACATACAGGAGAATAAAATCGAAATGCTATTATTGTTATAGTCAAGAAGATGCTAAAAGAGTGAAAACGCCAGGCTATAAATAAATCATTATATACTCAGCCAAATTAAAAACTTGACACTCGGCATTTTTGGGACTAGATTTTTAATATTTGGTTTAAGGCAACTATTTTAGTGTTATGTTGTGCACAGACGACCTTGACATCAACAGAAAGCAAGAATACGTCTCGCCGAAAGTCCTTGACATTGATAACGTTCGTGATGTCACAGTACCCCCCAAAATGAAATTCACAGACTTGGAAAACAATCGGAATAAAGTGTTTAGTAACGGTTGTGGCCTCCTCTAGCGTCTCGTACTGCCACACAACGTCTTCTCATGGATCTCAGAACATTAGTAAACACTACCCAAGGATGACGTCGCCACTGCTCAGCAGGACTTGGACACCGGCATTTCTTAAAAAATTCTGGGTAGCAATTGCTGTATGGGGTCGAGCATTGTCTTGTTGAAACGTTAGTCCAGGCCCATGTCTTTGCATAAACGGAAGAAGAACAGGTTGCAAAATCTGATCCTTGTACTGGACAGCATTTAAGTTCCCTTGGACAACAACAAGAGGAGAACGTCCATGTGCACAAAAAGAACCTCAAACCATGACGCTGCCGCCACAAAATCGGTCAACTTCTCTGACGCATACTTGAGCGTAACGTTCACCTCGTCTGCGGTACACTCGGACCCTGCCATCGGCAAATCTCAAAGTGAATCTAGATTCGTCACTAAAGACAACCGAATTCCGCTGTCTTTGAGTAAATCTTATGTCTTGTGGCCCACACAAGTCGGTTACGGCGATGAAGAGGTGTCAATATTGGTCCATTATAGGGCCTCCGAGCTCGAAGACCAGAGGCCTGCAAGCGATTTCGAACAGTTTGTGCAGTTACCCTTCCACCAAACATCTCTCTACTTGTGGAGGTTGCAGTGACAAATCTGTTTCTAAGATGACGTAATCGTATTGCTTGATCTTCCTGGAGTGACGTCACACGTGGCGCTCCCGCCCTTGGGCGGTCGGCAATAGTTCCAGTTTGAAGCACTCTCATTCTACGATTAATTATTGTCTGGCGTGAACAATTAAAGGCTCTTGCAACAGTGACCACAGACTGACCAGCATAGAGCCTACCTATAGCACGTAGACGTTCTACATTTGAAAGGCGCGGCATTTTCTAACAAAGATGAAAATAACAATTTTAATTTGTTTTTCCAGTTCAAGTTACGTGTGCGTGTTTAGTTTAAGCAAACTTGCATCGATTGACCTCACGAGTTTGTGTTTGCACGTGTTTTTCAGGTTTTTCCTCTTTATATGCTCAATTTTATGAAATTAAAGGCTTCTTACTACTTACTATCGTTAGAAACACTTTAAAATTTATTTGACTTACCAGAAAAAAAATTTGTTGAAATTCATCAGTGTCAAGTTTTTGATTTGGCTGAGTATAGTTAATACTTTATTTTCTATTAAAAACAAACATTTCATGTGGTACACTGAGATTTCCACACCTATGTTCGTGGAAAATTAAATCTTTAGAATTGAATTTTAAAATGTATTTTTTTATTATTATTATTTATGGTAGTAATTGTATGTACAAATATCTCCGTCGCTCTCACTTGGCGGTAATCAATGAATTTTAATACTAACTTACATGAGGGATCCTGATTCGTCTTTTGCAGACCTGTAATCATAATAGGCATAATTTACAGCAATAGGGTCAGTACGTAACCTATATCATTACGTAATCTATATGTATGGAAGTCTATAGCTACCATTCGCAATTTGTACTTTTCGCCAAAATGATAGGTCGCTAAAATCGCGGTGTGTTAATTTCCTAATTTCTACTTTTCGGGTTGCATTTTGGCTTGGTATGAGTGTCGGCGCCTTCTTACTGACACGAATAAAGGCAAAAATATGACAAAGTCGACATTACGCAACACAAGCCAAATTGCAAGTCGATTTTAGCTATATTTTCGACTTTCGCGTTCTGCAAGGCGAAAAGTAGAAAATTACGAATGGTAGTTATAGGCTTCCATACATATCAATACCTTCTATGCTTCTCTCCCATAATAAAGAATATTCTAGCGATTATGACAATTTGAAGTTTGCCGCCAATTCTCCGAAAATGACAAGATGTCTGAAGGAATAATTAAATAAATAGTGAGGCCTTACAATTGTTTAGCAATGCTTGTAAATTTCTTACCAATTCTTTGTAAATACTTATGAGTGCCCTTGGGAATCTGGCGAATACTTGCGAACGACTTGGGAATACAATGGATTACCCATGTGGAGACGGGGCTTTACAAAATAATGCAATACAGTTTGATTTCGAGTGATGACTAAAACGCAGAAGAGTTGCAATTCCGCACGACTGTAGGCCTACGTGGAAAGACATGAGGTATCTGGTATGTGGACAATATTAAGCATACTGCGCCTCCCTTTTTATGAACAATATATTTTCTCAGTGTTAAATTGGGTTTAGGTAATTTTCTCAGTGTTAAATTGGGTTTAGCTAATATGTTTGACAGCCTATCGAGCCGAAAGCCTCAAGTCACACCTCGTGACCATCGTCCGTCAGTCACCTTTGTTTTACTTTATCAACTTCTCTTTTTCCGGAACATCTGAAGTATGCCAACCAAATTTGGTAAGTATGTGGCCCCGTGTTTATTCGGATTGGTTCAAACGAATGTGCTCGGTCCCATAATATTCGTTTCGTTATTTATTTAATCGAAAACATATACTTACTCAAACGGTTTTCTGTAAAGGGAAAACAAAGAAAATAATTTAATATAAGAATATTCCCTGTTTATTTCATACGATAGCAAGATTTATATTTTATTAAAATACTCAAATGTATAACAAAAAATAAGAGAGAGAGAGAAAGAGAGAGAGAGAGAGAGAGAGAGAGAGAGAGTATTCAGAAGCACACCCCATAGATCCAACCCTCCATCTGAACTGAAATAAGATTATACCATTTTCCCCGCCATCGCTTACGCATAACAGGCCCGGGTCGATTTTGTATTTTATGACAATAAAGACATGCTTTGTTTACTATTAGTACAAAGAAAGCTTCCAATTGAGTGCCCAAAGATCATACTAAGAGCTATTCCTGGTCATCGATCAGGGTTATATTAACGAAACCTTCTCTGTACGAACAAACTCTGTGATTTGATGGTATATTTGGACATATTCAAACTAATTTATCTATCAAAAGTTAGCTACAAATCCCTCTCTTGACTTGATTGAAAAAGAATCCATTTTTATTTTGTATTTGTCGTTAGTCGTTGTCCATGTAACAATAATTATCGAGGCCTAAGTAAAATCGATTTTTTTCCCTGTCGTTTTCAGGTGAACACATAAGAAATTCTAGATGGCTAAGTAAATTCCGATATCCCGCCGTTTCATCGCAGTGTCTACTGGAGTTTAATTCTCCCAGTGTTCTCACAAACGCTATCCATTAGATCAACACATAACAAGTGCTGCTTGTATCCTCATAGTTTTGTCTTGTGTGAGCCCCATTGGTGTTTTTCAGGAAATTGCTCCGTGACTTGCTTTTGTATAAGTTAAGATACAATTTCTAGGGCAAAAGAATAACATAGTTTCGGCCAGTAATCTGCAGATTACTATTTTTGTTTATAGTAAATTCGAGCAAAAATGTATGTGGCATACTTACGAACAGCATTTGGTTTTGTTTGTAGATGTTTTACAACAACCTAGGAGACACGTCTGGTATTGGGGTCCCCGTATAGCTTCTATATTACATATTGCTGCAGTTGTACCTAGTTAATGATTAGAAAACGCTTTAAATACACCTTACATACAGCTGCTGTTCAAGTTAATGATTGGGACACAATTTTAATACTATATTACGCATTGTTGCTGTTATATACAGTTAATGAAAAAAAACATGACGTAAAGGAGCTAAATCGCTAAGGGTCGAAACGCATATAATAATGTAATATGTATATAACCTTATTAAGGCTACATATAATCGTTTCTGTTTTTACTGCAATTTCTAATCAATTATGTTCGGCGAAATACGCGAAGAGTCCAAATTAAGTGGCAGTATTTGGCGTCCAGTTATTCCAGTCTACACAGGTAGTATTCTCCTGTGGAATATATTTAGCCTCGTCCATCGAGTCGCTTCACTAAAAAAGGTGCCCGAAAGCATTCTGACATGCCAATTTTAAAATGTTTATTTATCTTAAATATTGCACACCAGAAGCCCATCTTTTCACGGTAAGATAACAACATTAATGTTAATTTAAATTGACTGTGGATAACACTGAGTTAAAGACTTGCCTCTTTTAAATAATATATTACATACAGCTGTGGTTGTACTGAGTTAATGATTAGAACATAAATACTACATTACATATAGAAATGAAATTAAATGGGGTTCAAAGGCCCGCTTTTTTTTTACACCAACCCGGTTGATGAAGACGGGTGCGAGAGAAAAGAAATATTGCTCGTACAGCGGCACTTCGACCGAATTCCCTCTTTTACGTGCGAACACAAGATCCAGGTGTTTCCATGGAAATTTTATCCAACACTTTTAGAGGACGCCGGCTTGTTTATATCACCCTCAAAGTATGTCGAATGTTGATCATTATACTTAGAGATTAACGGGGTGTTATTCAAGAGCTAAATCTGCCTATTGCAGGTCTTTATTTATACCTTATATTTTATATAAATTATTAATCAGGCATTTATTAACTTGCAAAGACCATAATCAGTTCTCAATGCCATCAGATGCTTTAGATTTTCAACAAATTTAAATACTATTTGCGGTTAATGATTTGATTTAAAAATGGATAATCTAGACTTTGTTTATTATCGTAACAAAACTGTTCTGCAATCGAAGACAACTCCTGCTCAATAATTTTACCGGAATTTACAACACATTCCCTTGTTATTACCTGTTTTATTTAACTATTATGTCAGCTCTTTATCTAAATCTTACATAATGCATGTGTAAGCGTTCACAATATTATAGTTTAAATTCGCAATTTCAAACCCCTCTTTACAACATAGATTGCCGGGTAACAAACAAAATCCCACCGTACCTCAGACGTCCAACCTGTTTACACCGTTTGTCATCATTATAATTTTTGCAGTTATGAAATGAAGTTCCATAATCTTAGCAAGTGCAAATATTTATATCAAGAACACTAACTTTGGTGGTGCCCCCCCCCCCCCAACCCCCAATTATTTCGATATGTTCATCTCGTCAGTTGCAGTGCGTGGAACGATCTTCAGAACAATACTCTGATTACTTAAACATGCATTATGCAAGAGCTAAATCTGCCTATTGCAGGTCTTTCTTTAGGCCTGAAATGTTTTCTAAAGTATTAATTAGACATTAATTAACTGATCCAGGCCTTAATCAACTCTCGATGGCATCAGATTTCTCCGATATTAAATAGATTAGAATGGTTCAGCGATACTTTGATTTAATCAAATATGGAGGACCGAGACTGAGCTTGGATCAACCAGTACGGTGGTTGAAATTATTGCACACGTCTTTCAATCCTTCAAAGGCTAATATCTTCGCTTGCAATTGAGTAATTTGAATGAAATTTTCAAATTATTCTTTTTACATCAACTTTCGAACTATTATAGCAAGAATGGCTAGTTCTTCATCTAAATCTTACATAATGTATCTTTAAGTTATTATAACCCGTGCTCACCGATCATTAAATCAAATGGGCCCATGTATAGTTTGTGGTTATGATCTGTATGATAAACATATAATTACTTACCTTCTATAAATAATAAAAAGGCCAGCATAGTCAACATACATAATATACCCCACCATCTCATTGCTGTAACAATAGGAAAAGTTGTTCTCAGTATTCGGTTAATTCCTTATAGTAACTGTAGGAAGGTTTGATAAATCAGAACATTGATATATATGTTGGAGATGATAATTACATATGTCGTTATGGGCACTGTAGGAAGATTTTATAAAACAGAGCATTGATAATGTTGGAGCTGATATTTACATATGTTGCTATGGGCACTCGCACATAATATAGCTCCATCAATAAATACCGAAACATAACATTACGCAATATCAAATATCCTACCCTAGTGATAGTATTTCGTAAGTAGTCCAATGTGACTTGACATGCGGCTGGGTACTCTATGTATATTAAGGACAGTGTTGATGATCGAATTACCTATTGACGTTACTATCACAGTTGTATGTACAGTCTCTAGCATACGTACTAGTGTGGACACAACTAAACCTTTGACCTGTCAAAGATGGTGCAAACAGACCCTAGGCACAAAAAAAGAAATGTGTACTAAATCAAGAAGACCCGTCGCTCGGTAAGAGAGAGATAGAGAGGGAAATGAGTTTAACGTCCACTCGACACAAACTAGGTCATTTCGGGACTGGACTAACAATAACATGGTTAACTTTATTCCAATACTTCAATAATTGAGTTATTCGTAGGAGTCTTTAGCAGTGGGGGGATCAGGTGAATACCCACGAGGTTGGACAGGTGATCCTAGTCACGTACAAGCGGGAAATTGAAACCACGCCACTTGAATCAATGGCAGACCTTATCCAACGCGCACGCTTTAACCATTCGGCCACCCATCCCCCATCGCTCGATACGGACACCAAACTATAATGATGAGGGATAATATACATTGTGGGGTGTTTTTGGACCGTAGGCGCTCGTTTTTCAAACGCAATAATTTAGATAGTTTTCCATATTTTGCTTTTATATATTATGGTACTGTGTAATTTACGGGGGTTAATCGTCGTTTATAATGTATTTTTTTTCAAATGGACAATTGAGAAACGTACACTACATGTGCCAGGTTTGATTAGTTGCCATACCTTTTTGGATACGAAACCCACGAGGTTGGACAGGCGACCCTACTCCTTGCCACACAGAAGCGGGGAATCGAAACCAAGTTACTTGACTCAATGACAGAACTTACCCAACGCGCACGCATGAACCATTCACATGATACATTCAGCTGAATGCTTTACACATGATACATTGAAGCATTTACCACCAATTACCTGTACATGTACATGTATATTGATGTTAAATTATAGATGTTAAATTATAAAATTTGTGTATGTGTTGGATTTAGAATATCAATTGAAAAATTGTAAATAACATGGATTATTCCATTTGATGTACATAGGGGCAATATTGCTGTTCAATGTGTCACTAGTGGTGCACCATACATCTGCAGTAAAAATAGTCCATGAAACAAATTGGCCTTTTATTTACAAAATATTTGAAAATTTTGAGGTCCTATAAACAAGTTTTGTTAAAAAAAAATTCAGATTTTAGGTCCTGATGGTTGGAGTTTGATTATCTGAGCAACTTTCAGAGAGTTTAATTTTCCTGTGTTTTTATTTATAAAGCTTGTATCTGCGCGGTCCCGACTTAAAAATGTCCTTCATTATTTGGTAAATATTTTATTTCAAAGTCATTATTTTGGATTTCCTTCCATTTTTTTTTGTTCTGTATACTCTACGGCACCTGCAGATAACAACATATTGGTAAAGCTAGTCTATATGCCTTTTTGAGAACCCCCACTGTATTCCATAGAATTGTGACCTGTATATTCCAGTTCAATTACTAAATGCTATTGAAACAATTTTTCCCATTTAAGGTGTTGTGACAAAATGCCGTCACTTTACTTTGCCCTTAAAGACAGAAAAGGGACGAAACTACACGTGTGGACCCTGAACCGAGGACCGTTACAATATATACGTCATTGGTTATAATCAACGAACTTGGAAATTAAATCGCCGAGTTTTAGCTAAAGTTTTAATCTAGTTCATAACTACGTATTTTCAAAAGTCCAATGATAGAATGACCCACGCCGCGAAAATCTTCCCTACTGAAAGTTGAACTCGACACTGCGAATGTGCACGCTGCGGTGGCTTGTCCTAAAGCGATTTCTGGCTAGTCACGCGGCCCGACAACACTCGGCGCTAGAGTCTATGTTAATATCCATCGCAGGTTAAATTCTCTACACATCTATCAACTATCACAGCCGTAAAAAAATCTATTGTTGACGATTCTGAATAGCAGTAATATTTAGCTTTTTGGTTATTATAGCAGCTTTAGAAATTATGTTCGTTTTACTTTTTAAATTGCTTTATCATTAACTATACCGTTAGGAGCGGCATCTTTTGGTTTAGTACAAATAATCTCTCTGGGCAAGAACATGATACTAGCAGTAGTTTCATTTTACTTTTACAAGGTTCTTAAAACAATTGTTGAGTTGCCTAACGTGCGTGTTTCTAAATTCAATTTCTTGTTCCAGCTTTCTGTTATGTTTTGTAAAAAAGTAATCTTGATTATCTCGGCCTGTCAATGAGACGGACAATGGTCGGTAGACTAATTTCAAAACAAGGGCACGTAACCTATTTATTACTCAAAACTGCCCGGAGGTTATGGCCGACGCCCGTAACCATTTTTCAGTCTATTATTTATCGATGGTTAAATGGCCATAGCTTATTAAATAGAACATGACCGTTTATGTAGTGACTATAAATGTGCCAAACTGATTTAAATAATGTGGTGTAATTGTCAAGATATTTGGAAATATTTATTTATGGTGGGACACCCTACCAATGAGTAAAAAAATAATTTTTTTTTCATCGCTTCATTGAACTTTTCTCATAAACGCTTTTTTGATCCGAGTGAAAACATGCTGTTAAAACAGGCCAGTTTATGTAGTACAAATATTTGAGGCTGTGAGCACTCTATCTTGGACGCTCAAAGGATCTTGCTAATAGCTATTTCTATATGGTTACTGTTTGGTCATCGTCCAATATTACGAAATATGTTCATAGATACAATGCTATTTTTGGATAATTTTATTTCATAAATTCAAGCATAATAATTGTACAGTCCATCATACACCATTTTTTACGTGACCGAATTCCGTAATTGAACCCTTTTTTTTCTATTAATCGATGGCTTTTTTTTTTTGGAGAAATTGTGTTAAAAGTGTGAATTATTTCTTCAAATTTCGTGTTTTATGTATTTTCTATGGAATATTCAATTTTAAACATTCAATATTTAAATCATGTGTAATATACATGTAGTATTGAAGGCCATCTTCTAATCATTAACAGCAGCGGTGTGTAATATAGTGTTTAAAGCGTGTTCTATTCATTAACTAGGAACAATTAACGTACACTGGTTACCTCTAATAAAAACAGCAGTGCATTTCCGCAGTTTTGTATTGTTTCTGAATATCCAGTCATAAAAATATTCAATTGTTTTTTTGGACAACTAGTTTCATTATGTATAGCAATCGTTGTGAAACTAAATCGGAGAGATTTTGATTTGATAGTTTTTATGTATTTTTGAAACAGGTTTCGAAGTGTTTTGGTTCTGTTATGCAAGATCATTTTCGACGTTCCAAAGTAAAAGTTCGATGATAAGACCACCTAAAGATACGTTTTAAATGTTACTATTATTAATTAAAACAGGTTTCGCTTTAGTTTTTATATTTTACGCTGACATTTATTGCTTTAAATCTTCCGAGTGCAAAAACGGAAAATTGGAACTTTTGACCTCCGGGGTCACAAAGAAAAAGGTGAATTTAGTAAGTTTACATTTTTATTGAAAGAGTGATTACTTTCGATCATTTTCAGCATGTTTTCATGATATATAAGAATGGCTGCGCATTCACTTTCAGTGCAAATGACCTCATTTGACCTTTGACCCCAATATCTCGAAAACACCCCTCCGCACTGAGCCTCCAGACTACTAAGGCTATGAACCCTCTAGATGTCACATATTTAATCCAATTTTGATGAAATTGAAACTTAAAATTCATTTCTTTATATCCCAAAGATCTCGGTAGTTTTGTCGAAATTGACGCATATCGGACCGAAACATCCCGGATTATGGGCCCTGATTGTTCTCTGTTAGTCCATCTCTTGCAAAACGCGGGCGTATCTTGCATGGCAACGGCTTGTTTAAAGACATACAAAGAAAAGCCTGGTACTATTATTCATTTGATTGGTCATCTGCAAAGAATTTACTCGAGATTGAAACAAAGTACTAATATGGAAACTGCGTGCCCATTTTTCTTAGAATTGGCTGGGAGGGGAGGGATTCTTCGTTTCGTGACTGATAATGGGTATCCAAGACGATGGCCAATTACCAGACATTTGATGTCACTGAATCAGATTATATAAGTCTTATTTGCAATTCAGATTGACCTCCCATATGCATGAAGGTAATTGTCTTAAGCAATTACAATAAACTACCTATATATAGCCATATTGTATTACCAATGAAGGTCCTGTCTGACTTACTAGATCGAAACAAAATTTATTATATTACATTACTGCCCTGGCATGGAACTGAAGTCGAAAAAGCAAGGATTACCAGCATGAACCTCATGGAGTTGCCTCCCTTGAATCATAAACCACATTTCGCTAAAGATTTCGTGCGGTAACAAACATGGTGTATAGTGTATGTGTGTTAAGTCGTTCTGTTAAAACAGCAACCCACGTTACTAGGTATAGGCAAACTTTTATAATCACACTGTGTTTGTCGAAAATGTAATTCAATAGATAAGATAAGATGCTGATTGCATCAAAACGTCCATTAAGGACAACATGCACACATATTAGACATAGTCATATACATTTAATAATACATGCAACATAGAAAACACAAACATTCATACAAACAGTTTAGTACATGTATGGGGTTTCAGGTACATGTAGTTGCCACCAAATTTGATTTAGATCTCTCTTATCGAAAGCCAAAAACAAATATAAAGCCACTGCCTTGGCAATCGATTTTGATGGGTTAAAGAGATTAAGAAAATTGTAGGAAATCTCAGGATTTGTGGAGTAGGTTGGGTATAAATGGGCTTT